TCTGCAGTCAAAGGCCGTCGTCAATAAAACAGAAGAGCAGACATCGGAGAGAGCGTTTACCTTTCAAAAAGAGCGGGAGTATATATATATATATATAAATAACCTAAAAATTATATCCGTTTATTTCAAACGACACAGAGTAACAATAGATGTTGCATATAAATGTGGTTATATAACGGGTGCGACAAATTAAAACAAAAAAGGTTTTTATTTCATCGTTAAAAAAATCACTAAATACAGATGTCATACTAAACATCAAACATCGAAAAATAACAGAGCAGTTGATTATGTGGATTTATCGACTGTTACTCTATGACTCCCCGAAATAATGCAATTTAACCAAGAAGAACTAGATGAGCACGAACGAACGTATTGCATTTGGATTTCGAAACCAGACAGTCATCAAGTACAAACGAATCATTAGTTCATACAAACACCACAATATTACGACTTTTTGGATAGGCTTTGATAGTACATTTGTTGATAATCGTGATTTTTCATTATTGCATTTAATAATCCACCAAGAGTAAATACATTCTGAAAGATTTATCTAACATCATATGATTATTTCCCAAATGATCTATCAGAACTGTTGCATTCTTTGTGAAATACTAATAGTAATGTGTATATGAAAGAAAACATGGCATTCATATCAGACAAATGATTGATATGGTTCAAACAGTCTGTATCATCAAATAATTCTTATTTCCTGACAAATATGTCAACTTGTTAAAATAAATCAGTTGCGAAAATCATGTCAAGTTACTACTGGTTTATATAAGTCCATATATACATACATCGTAAATAGGTCAACTTGTATACTGAAATTCCTAATCACAAATGTATAAACCACACAACAATTCAACTTAATACTTATTATTAGGCAAGTTAACTGAATCTTCTTTTCATACTGTAGACGAAATGCATTAGATAAAAATGGTAGGTAAGTTAGCGTAAAATAAGTGTGTATACCGATGTGAATACTTTATTCGACACAAGTATGTTTGTCGATGACCATTTAATCAGTTTGTTGAAGGGTCCTATAAAGGACTGTGCTTTGTTCACTTTGAATGTGAGTTGATATCTACTATGAAAAAACACAGGGTAATATTATCAATCAGATGGAATATAATACTGCACAGCATTGTCTCTACATCATATCATGTTTGTTTTGTTTTTATATTTCATGCAACTAGTTCCCTTTACGAATTTGTCTATTTTTATACTATTACCGTTATTATTATTATTATTTTTATTGATAGTCAAACTGTATAAATTAAAAAGTACGTTAAATTTTCCTAAATGTCAGTTTATTTTTTTACCGAAAAATTTGTATTTGTAGAAGTTCTCATGCAGTACAGACAATATGAACTCACTTATTAATGTCAAGTGAATAATGTTTACCACAGAAAATCAACAGTTTATGAAGAGAATTCAGACACATAGATACCATTGTGTTAAAATTAATGTTAAGTGAATAATGTTTACCATTGAATTCAGACACCCGGAAACCAAAATTTTACAATCGATTTAAATTATTGTTCACAATACTACTCATAGAAAACTGAAGATCTAAGTTACTACATCGTTGAGGAGTATTCTATGACAAATATACCAATTGAAATATAAAATAAGAAAGATTGGTTCGACGAAGTGTTCTATTTTCGGTGAATTTATTTTCAAAGCTGTACGATCGCAAATATATATGCTTATTTTTCTGGATGATGATAATAATTACAATAATAGTGATAGTAAAATTCTCTTAAACATGGTAACAGCGAGGTAGAATAAACAAAGGTATTAAGAAAAATTACTTTTTTATTATCAGGGAAACTAATAATAGTTTCAAGGAGGAAGAATGTATTTGTAAAATCTCAGCAAATGAATTTTGAAGTTAATCCAACGTTTCGCCTGGCAATCTGGTCCAAGCTTTTTCAAGGAATTATGATTTAAACTAGTACATCTTGATGGTTTTCACTATTTCCACAAAGCAATAAAATTTGTAGATTTGACTGCCTACCATAAATACATAAAACTAATATCCCACTAAGAACTGTGTTTGACTATACAAATTCATCAACCAAAAGTGTTTCTAAATACTTACCCAAGATTCTTAAACCATATGAAAGTGTAATCAAATATGGAATATAAAGTTGATGAAACTTTTGTCATTATAATGATTGTTTAAAATTAATATATTCCGGAAGTTAACATATTCATGGAAATATCTAGATTAGAAGTTAGCATATCTTCACTCCACCAAAGCAATAGTGGCCAAGAATTTGATAACCAGAGTTCAAAAACTCGTCACTGAACTAAATGATATATAAACTGAAATGAATTTAATTATATCCACTCTAGTGACGAATAATTATCCGAGGGATTTTATAAAAAGAATAATTAAGAACGAAGACCAAAAAGATAAACGAGAAGAATGAGTTGACACAGTGGTCCGATAAGAAACTCAATAATCAAACACCATTTGAACGCAGGTCACTCAATCAAAGGCTGCATAATGCAGCTTTATTGTATCTTCTTAACATTCCTAAGCAATAGCTACACATCTAGAAAAACCAGATATGTGTCCAAAAAAGTTGGTAAAACCTCCTATTTTACCATGATCTTAATGTCTCATAATTTACATTCTCCTTCAAATTTTTATTACTTGACAGCCATCTGCTACCCGGATTACCAGGCGAAACGTTGGATTAACTTCAAAATTCATTTGCTGAGATTTTACAAATACATTCTTCCTCCTTGAAACTATTATTAGTTTCCCTGATAATAAAAAAGTAATTTTTCTTAATACCTTTGTTTATTCTACCTCGCTGTTACCATGTTTAAGAGAATTTTACTATCACTATTATTGTAATTATTATCATCATCCAGAAAAATAAGCATATATATTTGCGATCGTACAGCTTTGAAAATAAATTCACCGAAAATAGAACACTTCGTCGAACCAATCTTTCTTATTTTATATTTCAATTGGTATATTTGTCATAGAATACTCCTCAACGATGTAGTAACTTAGATCTTCAGTTTTCTATGAGTAGTATTGTGAACAATAATTTAAATCGATTGTAAAATTTTGGTTTCCGGGTGTCTGAATTCAATGGTAAACATTATTCACTTAACATTAATTTTAACACAATGGTATCTATGTGTCTGAATTCTCTTCATAAACTGTTGATTTTCTGTGGTAAACATTATTCACTTGACATTAATAAGTGAGTTCATATTGTCTGTACTGCATGAGAACTTCTACAAATACAAATTTTTCGGTAAAAAAAATAAACTGACATTTAGGAAAATTTAACGTACTTTTTAATTTATACAGTTTGACTATCAATAAAAATAATAATAATAATAACGGTAATAGTATAAAAATAGACAAATTCGTAAAGGGAACTAGTTGCATGAAATATAAAAACAAAACAAACATGATATGATGTAGAGACAATGCTGTGCAGTATTATATTCCATCTGATTGATAATATTACCCTGTGTTTTTTCATAGTAGATATCAACTCACATTCAAAGTGAACAAAGCACAGTCCTTTATAGGACCCTTCAACAAACTGATTAAATGGTCATCGACAAACATACTTGTGTCGAATAAAGTATTCACATCGGTATACACACTTATTTTACGCTTACTTACCTACCATTTTTATCTAATGCATTTCGTCTACAGTATGAAAAGAAGATTCAGTTAACTTGCCTAATAATAAGTATTAAGTTGAATTGTTGTGTGGTTTATACATTTGTGATTAGGAATTTCAGTATACAAGTTGACCTATTTACGATGTATGTATATATGGACTTATATAAACCAGTAGTAACTTGACATGATTTTCGCAACTGATTTATTTTAACAAGTTGACATATTTGTCAGGAAATAAGAATTATTTGATGATACAGACTGTTTGAACCATATCAATCATTTGTCTGATATGAATGCCATGTTTTCTTTCATATACACATTACTATTAGTATTTCACAAAGAATGCAACAGTTCTGATAGATCATTTGGGAAATAATCATATGATGTTAGATAAATCTTTCAGAATGTATTTACTCTTGGTGGATTATTAAATGCAATAATGAAAAATCACGATTATCAACAAATGTACTATCAAAGCCTATCCAAAAAGTCGTAATATTGTGGTGTTTGTATGAACTAATGATTCGTTTGTACTTGATGACTGTCTGGTTTCGAAATCCAAATGCAATACGTTCGTTCGTGCTCATCTAGTTCTTCTTGGTTAAATTGCATTATTTCTGTAATTCGTGGTTTGTACTATCATTCAAATACTTCAAACTACCACAGAAATTTAATGTGATACATATTTTGTTAAAGAGTGTTCATGACGCAATGAACTGTGAATTAAGTGTTTTTGGTGTGTCATATGGATGTCCGTTGATTCTCAAGATATAATTTGTAATGTTAATGAGTCGCATGCTTTGTATATTTTATCAATAATAAATGGAATTTTACGACAAGAAGCTGTTCCTTTTACTTTAAATGTGATTTTTTGTTGCGCAGGCGGATGATTTGGGTAAACTTTCTTTGTCTGACTAAGCGATTCATCTCAGAGGATAAATCGCTTATGAAGATATTTACTACTTAGATAACAGATTTCCTTTGACTAACGCCAGCTGTATTTACCCGTATCTTCTGTGACATGCATATAAGAAAAATATACAGGGTATTATTTAAAAGAACCTCAAATCAGACACCAACTAATTCTACAGTGAGTGTTTTCACATTACCGAACAGGGTCAGAATTTAATCCGTTTCAAAAATTGTCTACTACTGTTGAGTGAATTTTAGTTAAAAATGTCATAAAAGACGTTCTTTATTGTACATGTAATTCCAAAAACACTGGTTTTTGTGCTTCCTATAAAACTGAATCAATTTTTGTTTTACATATTACTGACAATGAAAATTGGGCAATCAAATTTCGTTTACTAATATTTAGTTGATCAGATGAGGTTTATTGGACGAATTTGATTTTCTTCTTCTTCTTCTTCTTCTTCTTCTTATTATTATTATTATTATTATTACTATTATTACTATTATTATTATTATTATTATTATTATTATTATTATTATTATTATTATTATTATTATTATTATTATTATTATTATTATTATTATTATTATTATTATTATTATTATTATTATTATTATTAGGTAACATATACTTGACAATTATTTATGCAAAGTGAATTATCATTGATTACAGTCAAAACAGTGGTCAAATGTGCTTTCAACAAATAAAAACAATTAAATAACTTATTTAAACTAATGTGTTTAAATTACTATTTCAACAGCTTATACATAATGATCAAGTCGAAACTAATCATTCACTGAAAAAGTAGACAAAGATAAAACTTGATTAAATTTCAGTTTCAATCCAAGTTTCACTAATCGTATAAACATTCCAGTGAATTTAATTGTTTGATTTCTTAATTAAGTGCATCGGCTTAGTGGTCAATTTCAATTGTACTAAGAGTGGATTAACAACCTTCTTAGAATAATAAAGTTTATCAGTTTATACCTCATCATAAATTTCCTGCCTTTTAAACACTTGAAGTTCGTTTTATCTATGACATCCATCTGTACATGTCTTTTGGACTATTTGAAACAGGCATAATTTATTGTCAATACATCACTTAGTCTATTTACATGCGATCGATATTTCATGGAATTAACTCATTTCACCAGTTCAGTGACTTCATATAACTTTCATTGTATTTTCGTAATGTCATCAAATATTGTTTACTGCCATTTATTTTTCTGTACATTTGCTCAGAATAGAAGCCAGTGGCAATCCTGCTGTAACCTTCTTTTACTTTTTTCATAAAAAGTAGTTGTATCTTCCTTAACTGAAAGAATTCTTCTAGTTGTACCTTTCCGTTTCCTCCATTATTACTATTATTACACTACCTTACACGAATCTTTGGTCGTTATTGTTCATTTTTCCTTATACGCACCCTACCTTCTTTTTTCTCTTCCCATCCTCATTGTTTTGTGTGGCGCATATATATTTGGTGCCCCCTTGTAACAATATTTATGCGTTCAAACAAATAAATAATCAATAAATATTTCTATATATTCGGTGTTTTATAGAATATTGAGTGGCGAATTGATGGCAATTATTTCATTCCACCAGATTTTACCAAAAACTTCACATTCTACTGAGCACATCATCTAATGTCAATTTTAAGATTACGAGTAAAGAACTGTATGCTACGGTAATAATTTACAATACTATACTTATTAAATCTTAACTCATATGAGCGTTGTCTTAGGAAATTAGATTTTTTAAAGTCTATTTCTTTAGGTTGTGGGCCATCTGATTGGTTTAACTGTCTAGGTTAAAATATTACCAAATAACCAATTAAACAAACAGATCTCAGACGGGTAGAGAAACTTGAAATTGGGACAGCCTTTACAATCCTAACGACTGTTGTTGTTCAGCACAATAGGTAAAGATTAAAATATCAGACCCTTACCACCCCTCTAAAACAATCACCATCAAGCAAAATACTCTGATAGGTGGAACGACAACTGATCGATGTGGATTAGCTTGAAGCGACAAGTTGTTCACAAACTCACATGCACACATAAGCGACAGAGTCAACTATAAATATTCAGTCAGTTATGGTTCTTTATCGAGTTACAGAAATGTGTCGCAAGTGCTCTGAACAGGTGAGTTTCTCTCTTGATAATATTAGCTTTACGCTGTTATTGTCGTAACAGGATCGTAAACATGATTTCCTAAAATGTAAACAATAGTGTTTAAGTGCATAGAACTCAACTGCATTCCGTCAACTAAAGCTTTATGATAAGTAGATTAATACTATCACAGAATATGAGTTCCGAATATATAATAGCCATATTATATTTGCGGATATTTTATCATCAATGTTTCTTTAGACAATCTGATCGAAAAAAATATTGAGGTTCTCGAAGTAGGTCATTAGACACCCATACCTTGTACCCTAGATATGAAGTAAAATTTGCTTCGGTATGTTAACCATGAGTTTTCATGTGGAGATAGACATACAACGTATCTGTTATTGTTTCTATCCATATGAGAGCTTAAGACAATGGCTATGCCGTTTGATTAACCGACCCACATTGCAGCAGGATGTTAGATAGGGTGCTAAAGACTTAATGACAGGCAACTAAATTGTCAGTGCACACATCACAAGACTACCAAAATAAGTGTGGCTGGCACAATTGCTGGAATTGATTCACGCTATGATAAAGTTAGTTAGCATGCAATTAAGTACTAAGATAACACTATCAAATCAAAAAAGTGAAGTGTTTTATTTTTTCAGCCAAAAGCATTCAAGGTTCTTGTAGCTCAAACTATTATTCAGAAAAATCGATCTTACAATTTTTTTTACAGAAATGGCCATCATCACTCTCCTACCATGATGACAAGTTTGAAGAAGAGACGTTAAAACAAGACAGAGAAATCAAAGATGTCGTGGAAGGTCTTCACCAACTATCACTCCCGTGTCGTGATGACAAATTTAAAATAAGATCATCAAGACAATGTGAAGCCGAACGTGTTATAGACGGTATTCAAAGTTTTTGGTGTAAAACTAAGTCCAGGTTGACCTAAGTTTGTCATGTATAGGAAATTTGTTTACTCACAATATCCGCGTTTACATATAAATAAGTGTTTTTTATGGTTGATCTAGAATTCTGTTCAGTTTGATACGATGGTTCAGATGATTATTTAATTTTTTAAAAATCTTTTTGATTTTAGATTGTATGAATGGCTTGGCTGTTGTAGGGGGTGTAGTTTTGGGAGCGGCTGCGTTGTTCGGTATTGGGCTCGCTGTTGGTCTCGGTTCGAAAGAGTTGAGACGTCGCAGATATTGACTTGAAATTTCATTATATGTCATAAAATAAACAATCATTTTTAATCCAAACTTTCTTTTGACTAAAGCTCGTTCCTATGTCACTTAATACTGAGTATTTGAGATATCATGAAGTTGAGAACGAATCGTTTCGCGGATGGTGGGATAAAAGTTTTTCTACGTTATTAATCTTAAATGCATGTGGTGTCGAAAATAGGCAATACAAGCTTAAGAAACGGGGACGACATAGATAGTAAGCCGCACGTTGATATGAACAGCGGATGCGATGGTATTTAGATTAAGTACAGGACTGAGTGAGCAAGACGACATTAATGTCTGTGGATTTTTCATACTGTTGATAAGTCGATAAAATCGAGATATATGTAATGTGAGAATCTGACATTACTCGTACTTCGCTAACTCATGTTAGGTTGTAAGCGTATGGCAATGAAGTAATCGAAAATACGTGAATTTCTTATTTGTACTGTATTTATTTGTCAGATAATTTTAGGTGTATTCACAATGAAACCGGTTACAACTTGCACATTTTCTCCTCGATCGTAAAGACCCCTCATCCAGTTACTATATGTTTGTATGTGTTCATTGGTGATAGTATGATCTATGTATTCATTATCACATTTACGGAGTGTGACCTACATATGTCATTATGTATCACTTATTTTCATGAGCAAATAAATTCAACTTACACGTAAGTGATCTTAAACAAGATGATGTAACACATAATAATATTATTAACTATATGACCACATGTTCGCACAGTCAAGCGTTTCAGAAAGTTGTCTGATGGTATAGTTTAGGTAAGACGTATAAACACTTAGCCCATAAATCAGTTTTTCATTTATTCATTGATTGCGACTACTTGGATAGAGTATATTCGAATGCTTATGTCATTTGTGTAAAGAAACACCTGAAATGGTAGATGTCATGTAATGTAAAAGTGTTTTATTCTTTCGATGTGTTTCAGTACAGAAATTAATAAGTCGTTACAAAATCCATTTTTTTCTATTCGTACATTCTTCATAGTCTACGATGAAAGAGAGAACACCAATTAAACATAAATAAAGCCTGAAAGAGTTACTTCTTTATCTTCGCTCTGTCTTTCATGAGTAATAACTGCTATATTGATCTGAGAAATGAGTGAATGTATTGTGACATATATATTCAGTGAGTTTCGTAAGAACACACTTTATATATAATCACATATCCAATATCTATCGTTACTCTGTATCAATGGTAAAGAAACGGATATGATTGTTTTCCTATATATATATACACACACTAACGCGATTATTAAGAATAGACGCTCTCTTTATTATTATTATTATTATTATTATTATTATTATTATTATTATTATTATTATTATTATTATTAGCTTTATTCAGTATTAGATTTTTGGTACAATATAGAATTCTCAGCACAAAGTATTTCATAAAGTTTCTGTTTCTTACTTCTTGGTCGATCCTGACCGCCCATTAGATGTGAGCAGTCCAGTAAATGAACATCTGAATAATGTATACTCTTTTCGCTGCATATTGCCAGCCACCACAATATCTCTTTTTGGGCTTTTTGTAACTTTGACAACAAAAGATTGTACACTTTTCAGAAACGCACTTGTTGAAAAATCTAGATGGCAGGAAAAGGTAGCCCAGATGCTCAAGCAGGCCGCCTTGTGTTTTGCTTTATTGACCACGGCCTTCAACTGCAGATAATCATAGTGTCATAACATCCTTTTAGGCCTTCCCACACTATGTTGGAGTTTTGGCCTGGATTACTTATGAATAATACTATCGGACTTAATTTTTCCCATTACGCCGTTGGTGCCACCACGTAGAGAAACAATTGTCAACCAAGTGAACTCATTTATGATTGTTATCTCAGAGAGCAGCTTATAAGTAGAATTCATTTGATAACAGCTGTTATCATTTTGTTATTTAATATACCATTTATATTGTAACTGTAACTTGTAACATTTTGCTTTACTCATAATCAGACACTTAGGTTTGTAGTGGTAATTCTTTTTGGCATATAATTAGTAACTTTGCGTATTGTTATATCTTGAATAAACTCTTTTACTGGGATCCACCACAAATTTGGTTGTTTGCGTTAAAAGATTTCTGAAATGCTAAGCTGAATTCGCTGTACTTCATATATCTCTTTGTGTCAGGAGAACTACCTTAGTTGATTACTGATAATTTAATTTTTCGGATGGATTTCATGAGCCCAGTTTCCATAATCAGAAGCAATAGTAAACTGTCTAGTCTAGCCTATTTTCATCAACGTTCAGATTTCTGACGTTAAATTCTTTCGAAGTAGTTTATATGACAGCCGTAGCATTGCATCAAGACATTTGTATTTGTAGGCCGTATTGGTTACTAGTATGTATATCTACTGGAAGATGATATCTGGGTGACAATTGAAAAGACATCATTCTTAAATGTGACATTACATAGAGAGAGAGACATCTACGGAAATTATTAAACATGTGTTACATGGGTTGTGAAACGGAAACGATAGTAATGACATATTGTGGATTTGATTCTCCTTCATTTTTGAGGGGAATTTTCGTCAACTACAACATTCGACAGGTGAGTGTCAGACGTAGGCCGATCATCACAAATAATTTCTAAAACCTATAATTTATGTCCCCAAATGACAGTACGACAAGCCATATTTTATGGAAAAAGTTATAGTTTGAAGGAATATGTTCAACATTTGTTATCCGACTTCGTGTTTCCGAATTCCTCGAAACAAGTAAGTACCTAAAATGTGTGACAATATTTAAAACATAGATTTGGTAATATCAAACTTTACATCAGACAACTTCTATATCCGTGGATTTTTTCATGGTTCGAATAGTTGCATTCATGATTTCGATGAAACTTCCTACCAGGCTCATTGAATTATCTAAATATAAATGATGGACACTCATATTACGTCAATTAATTAGGGAAAGCCATATGTTAATGATTATTTCACTTTCTACATTAACGATTTTATTTGTAATTTCATTTTTACAATCAATGCTCCAAGTAAATAAATTCTTTTCCTAAATGAAATGTATTCATTGTAAACTTTCATCGATCCTTAGAACCAAGAAGAGATTTTGATGAAATATTAGTTACCTTCTAAAACTAAGTTCTATCACTCATAGGAGGAAGTGGTGATATACCATACTTAATTTAAAATGGTTTGTAAACCATTCACTGATGCTAAATGACTTATTGAAAGTAACATGACCAATTGTGACTTGACTAATTAGCTTAATTCTCTAAAATCAATTTGGTCAGAAGAAATGGTACTACTCCGTTAAACTTTATACGAATGAAATTTAAGCTTTGGTTGAAACTAATTTTTCATACGTGCAATTGTTAAATTCTTTAAAAGATGTTTCGTGTATTTCAAATGTGTGATATAATTCACTATAATAATAATAATAATATTAATAATAATAATGATAATAATAATAATAATCTGATATTCCCAATCATTTACCTAAAATACACTTATAAACACTAATTTAAGCTCATAACTTGGGAATTATTAGGCCAACTTATTGTTTGGTTTGATGCTACATACTAGGACTCATATCAATTGAACTATCATTTAGCGTACTAATGAATTAAAATATTTTCATGGAAATTATAGTGATAATTAAAACTAGTTTCAGTCATAGCGACATAAAATTAACTGTAATTTCCCCATCAAAATGAATGGTCAAAGTTGCTGACAAACCATGTGTTGTGTGGTACATATACGGACAGATATATGTAGTATGTATTGAGAGTTATAAGTAGGAACATGAGGAGAAGAAAAAGAAAACAGGAGCAGTTCGAGTAGCAACAAGAATGGAAGAACAATAGGATTCGTGAGAGATAATTTAGGAATATATACAAATGGTGCATTCAATTTATGGTTTGCATATTTTACAAAAGCTGTGTATGAAAGCTCTCAATACGATAAATTGGTGTACACTAACCTAGTCTTTGTTCATTACAACAATTCATATATCAGTTATAAATTGTATCGGATTAATGAATCACCATTCGATATGACGCTGTTGTAAAAGATTCAGTTGATCCAGACAAGAGGATTTCAATAATGGCTGCGGATAAAGCCATCATGCCCAATAATGAGTTTTTCGACGATCCAGAAGAAGGTTCTGGGCTTGGAGGCACCACACTTCGATCAGGCAAATCAGCTTCACGAGATGTTCAAAATCACCGAGACCAACCAAAACGCGCACGCACGGATGAAGATGCCAGTTCATCCACCACGAAATCAAACAGTAAAGAAGGAAGTGGATCTAAAAAGTCAGATTCTACTAGTGACAAGGTAAAATCAATTCGTCATCACTGATTTCTATGATTACTTATGATAGTTAGATGTTATGTCCCCTATTGTAGACCACTTTTTTAGTTAACTGTCATCATCGTACTATTGAAATGTGTCAAGTAATTACTTTTTTTAGGTATGTAGTTTGTTAGTATGTGTTGAATGTCGCTCTCACTAGTGTTTAGAACTAAACAATAAATACGATTGACACTAATGAATGTACTGATCCCCACATGTTTCATACTTCTATACCTTTCAAGATGTTTGGGTAGCGTAGTGAAGATCGATATTCCTGTACCCATTTTGAAATGTAGTTGTTCATAATCGTTTCATACTGTTTTCAATATGTTATCTCTAGCACAAAATTAGAAGACCTTCCTGAGATCGCACTTGGATACTTTCATCTCGTTGACCACATTTCCAGTTCAACCAAATTACTAATAATAGAGCCATATTGTATCTATCAGCAACTGTTATCTGTTTAGTGACTTGATTAGTTCATGTTGGAGAGTCTGTAGTATTAATAATCTGAGATTTTATTCATCCTTCTTAATCTGTTTATATTTCCCATAACTGGTCATTCTAGCGTTTCTTCTGTCTTATTGTGTCCTACAAAATAAGTCAATAATATTTCATAAACTGATCATTTGATTTGCATTGTTTGCTTGATCATTTTACAACATGCAGATTTTGTTGTGGTCATCATGCTCAAACGATTCATTTAAATTATGCATTCTCTTGGAATTCACATCAATGAGAGTTGTGTTTTTTTCTCATTCTTATACACAATTGATTAGTGAGAGATCTGATAGAATGGCACTTAACACTTCTGTTCGGTTTTAGGTTCATGTGATCTTGTCCTCGCTTTTAGGTAACCGTCTATCCATTTCCATTGCTAACTAAATATCTACAACACTATCCAACTGAACTACTAAATAATTCTTTATGACAATTACTTTCAGCAAACCGTGGTAATTCAACGTCCTTTGTTCATTAATTGTCCTAATCGTTGAATTGACTACTGTTTGGCGAAGCAGTTGCCATTAAGAGACAAACCAAATTTGTGTATCTAAAATTATTCAGTTACCAATCTTGGTCTGCGTTTGTGAACTCATTCACAAATGTTTATTATGCAATTTTTTCATGACACTAATTATTAATACTAACTTATTATCTGATCTGTACTCAGTCAATTTCGTTTTAAGGGTTACATACCTATAGCATTAATATCTTATTTCTAAATAATTTTGTTTCTATATTTTCAGTCATTCATACAAGAATATTTTTATATTCACATTATTTAACATATGAACACTTATAGTTCTTCAATAGTTATTGCTTTTTTCATTAATCCTTATTGTTGATAACACTTCTGATACTACGATATAAAGCGTGTACACGGATTTTTAATGATTAGTACTATTATGTTTAGGCTGTAAGCAGCTGACTAGAAATCGCGAAATATGGTGGATTCATGTTATTTTGTTACATTAATTTTTCTTGCCTTATTCAAATTTATAAATGGGAGGAATTGTATTAAACTAACTTTTTACAGGATCGAAAATTCCCATTAGTAAGTCATTAGGAGATAGTAATCTGTTTCAACAAGCTCGTATCTCTGATTTGCCCAGAAACCACATAGTACTTGGTCATATCATAAATAATAGTGATTCTCGTCACTGGCTTATTTGTATGTGGTGATAAAGACTCATTTCCTTTTGGTTATGGATATTCATTTTAATAAAATTAATCTTTACGATAAAATCGAACACTTGTATTCATACATGATTACTAGTCATTTAAATCATAAACTACCATAGAATACGAGTTTAGAGGTTAAATCTATCATTAGAATTGAGATTTGAACATTTGGCTTAACTCTTGCTCGTTTTAACTTTATCAATCATTTAATAATTTCTCGTTTTAGCGTTCGGAGTCCAAAAGCGATTTTGTAGAAAAAATGGAGGTTGATTTATCTAAAAAAGCCAACGGTCTAATAGAACCGGAGCGAGCTGCTAATTAACTGGGTTTCTGTCACATTGTTTGCTCTTAATAATTTTTGTAAATGTCTTTGTCCCTGTTTTCTTTTATACAAATAATCCCCCGTGATTCACATGAATGTCATGTTTATGATATCCTGTGTTCATTGTTTGTTTGACATCTAACTATATGTATTCTCTCTTCTTATTTTCCGGAATTGCCTGTCATATTGTACGCATTTATTCGACTTAAATACTACTAAATTGTACAGTTCCTGCAAAAGTATACCATTTGCTATTCTAATGTTCAGTGAATTCAATTTTCCTTATATGTTTTATGATAAAGGTAGGTAATAAAAATTTACAGTATTCAAATGACCACTTTTCTGTAATTCAAAAATATATCGACCAGCTGGCAGCAGGGTGGAAAATCAGTTTCCGAACAAGTTATTCATTTTGTACAGTTTTGTTTAGAAAATGAGTACGTAAATAAACAGCAACATTTCACTGAATCACTTCAAAGTAGTGTTCTTTTAGTTAGCGAAAGTTAAGCTATATTAATAAGTGCTACTGGAATAAGAAAGGTTAGTTTGATGTATACGAAAACTTATTGTCTATTTGAATTTACATTTCTATGCATTAACAACAGGTTTAGTCACAGAAGAATATACATGCCTTTTATGCGAATACCCAGTTATAACAGCTACATGTTATTAGTTTCCGAAATAAAAGGAGCACAATAATACTGTTTTGTGATACAACTAATCGTGAATTTTAAAATGACTTGTACGTTACGATCTGTAAAGTAAGTATCCATTGTTTACAAAGCTGTATCTCGTACTATTTCTAACTTTCACGTTGAAAAATCTACAGTGAGTTTATGGGACACTCACTATGCAAACATTTAATGTCAGAAATTAATATGGGAGAATAACGATTACTTACTGACTACTTTGAAAAATATGAAGAATATTTGTAGAACTTAGTCCATTTCGGTGACGAAGTTCTGGTTATCCTACTTGAGTTTACCCATGAAGTTTTGTTAGAGCAAATGGTTGTGTCCAAACATAGATGCTTCCATATTTTCAGCGGTGGCCTAGCTTAGAATTCAACTGATAAAATTACTATAATCTCCACAAACCCCAATTTTGATAATAAGTAGAATGTGGTGCAACAGAAGGGATAAGTAAGTAATATGAGTGAAGGATCCAATTTTCGTTTGTTTGGTGGTAGCCTTTCTGATATTTCGCCATCGGAAATTGTTGTCACGTAATCTTAGAACTAATTTGATTGATATGTTTTACAGTGAGTCTCTAATACTTGGGCCTCACTACAAGTCTTTGTAATTCCAATAGATAAGTATGGTTGTGATGTGTATGCTTTTATGTAGAACTCAAATTGTTTCTCTAGTCATATACAGGAACTAAAGGTAAATTAAACACAGTACTTAAAGTTCTCAAATATGTTTTAGCATCTGATATTTGTTTATGTGGAATTTGTACTAACTGATTATTCCTGTGCCAGATAATTACGAATTCCGAATATAACACGTTCATTAGTGCTCATCTAGCTTAAATTACATTCGTGGAGACAGTGAAATGTCGCTGATCTCTATTCAAATCATCCGGCAGTTGAGTCACTTAATATCGAAAAGATCATCAATCCCTGTCAAGCACATTCAACGCGAATCGGTTAATCGAACACCATGGTTGTGATGTGTATGTTTTTGTGTAGGACTTTGTCTGTTCATAACAAATGACTAGAAATTATCAGTTAAATGTCAACTGGAAGTTGTCCAATTCGCTTTTTTTGCATTTCCGCTCATGCCTAGGATATCATAGATCGAGCAAATTCTGTCACTGTAGTTTTCACGCGATTTATAAGTCAACCCCGTGTTTACGAATCTGTTATCAGGATGTTGGATGAGACCTCACAATTATTTTCGTTAAACTTGAATAACGCTATTTATTAAGTAGACTACTGGATAGTGTCATAAATGATAAGTTTCAATAGGTACATGGCAAGGGTATTTTCGATACATCGCTAAGTAACATACTAATTTAAGAGCGGAAAATGACATGAGAACAGTTACTGAGTAGAAACGAGAGCTTACAATTAGAAAAATGTAAAAGTTACGTACGACAGCTACTTGATAAATTTTTGTCAAGAATGTAGTAGCTACTTCGCAAAAGAACGACCACTCGAACTTCGTGGACTTTGTTTATTCCTAGAAGCGGTCGACCCATTGATTCAGGCTCTAGGTAACCGCTATGGACAGTCTATGTAACACAGCTCAAAATGCTGGATGATGAGATTTGATCCTCGGTAAGAGTTACACCCTGATATGCAGCGCTCACTGACCATATCAAGGAAATAATGAATGAAAGCGCTTTGAATATTACAGTGTGATGGACATGATTTGTCCATAGTTGACTAAATGCTCCAGAATAGTCTTTCTAAAATAATCTACACATTCAAAGGAATTAAATCGAAGGGAGGTCGAACCAAAAACTTATGCACTGCTGAGGTATTGGCATTTCACCAACTGAAGCCTGAAATCTGCGTGCAAATACAATAAGACCAACCTCTCATCCTTCTTTGACCCCAATTCCATTTTTGTAGTATGTTTTAGTTAATTTTTCTAAATCAGTGTTTTGTAATTTTACACCGCAATCAGTTACTATTATCCTTTAATAGTTTTTCATGATTATTATTCAGTTATTATTACGACCTTTGTGTTTTTCATTTTTCCTCACATTTGTTAAGAGGACAGTTATCTTTGTCGTAGTAAATAAATCCCTGGAATCAATAACTCTGTAAGTCTTCGACGTTTGATACTGGCCAAATTAATTTGGATGGACTCACCTAGCTGAAGTCACGCATCCGCACCAGATCACGAGTGAGAACGCTGTGCTTTACATCTACGACCACTAGCCAGTTTAGATTAGTCACTTCTCGATATATCGATATTCTTTCATATATATCTTCGAACCTCCTCCCATTTGATTTCACTAGGTTGGCATGTTTCGATTATAAAAGGTGTTACTGGTCAAGGTGTTTTCAAACTCAGAATATTTGTGGCATTTTTATCTTTTATAATTCTGACTTGTAAATTATTTTCGTCCTCATACACTTCTCTTACCCTTTGAGTATTTCTTAACTTCATTTGATAAAAAGTCTCGAATCACTTTATGACGCAATCTTTTCTATCCTCCTATAGACACGTATTTACCTCACAACTATTGATACGAATGTGCAGCATATGCAAATGATTTCATCGAAAATAAAAATTCCCATCATTGAATTCTCTTTATTTTTATTCAGTGACACTTTAATTGAATTTATTTCAGCTAAAGTAATTTCGTACTTGCGTGCATTGACTTGGCTTACGTGTATTTATAAGGTAACCCTCGTGCTATTGATAGAAGAAACCAGAGAAGTAGTGAATAGGTCTTTATTTCGATCTCAGCGCGGTAACAGTGGAGCGTCGGATTACCTGTTCAGACAAACAAAGGCTCTCAACATTCAATATAAGATAATAGGGAATATAACGCTTATACAAAACAAGGAAGTGAATGAATACTTGAACAGTACTGTTTTGGCATATGCTTGGTTGTTTGGGGTCAACTCTTAACCAACCAACCTAGGCTGTTACATTTATTGCATTAAAGCATACTTAGTCAACTTTGAATTGATTTATTTCGGCTGGGGTTTTAAATGTTTTTCAAATCCACATTTGGTTTATTTTTAAGATGGTCGGCCCTACTCAGAAATGTGGACTGCCATATTGCTTATTCCCTGTGGAGGAAGGAATGGAATGTGGTGAGTGTAATGCGTGATTCCATAAGATTTGTACTCGCCTGAATACCACTGCATATAAAAGGTGCTCAATACCTAACTTCCATTGGCTTGGTATGTTTTGTTGTTTGAGCAGGGCATTACTCATCCTAGAGGCGATTAGCCTTCTGTTGTCGCCTAACATATATCGTTATTCTATCAAATATATCTTTGAACCTCTTCGCTTCTGACTTTCGATTTCTCTAGATAGGCACGTTTTATTATAGGTGTTACTGGTTGAGTTGTCCAATTCCGAATACTTGTGGCATGTTTATATAGTAGTAAGTTATGTCTTATAACACAACTATACATAATTCATAAAGATTTGTACTTGTTTTTGTCTCATTTACCACAAAGTATTTTGCTTTATGCGGGAACGAATGCATTTTCTTCTTTGTGATCACCGGGGGTATGAATGGTTAAGTTATTTGGTTGTATATCTGCCAGGAGCAAACCCATGTCTCTTTGAATGATCCATTTGAGTCGATTCTACGGTCTTGATTGTTATTTTTAGGTTTATTCAATGTTGTATATTCGGCACATTATAGAATCTCCAACACAAAGTATTTTAACGGGTTTCCGTTTCTTATTTCTTGGGTGATTCTGAAGATAAATATTGAGTGGTTACCAGTTAGATGTTAAGAGTTGAGGAGTCGACATCTGAATAATGTACATTCTTTTCGGTGCATATTGCCATCAACCACAATGTCTATTATTGGGCTTTCTTTTAATTTGTACATCGAAAGGCTACGAAGTTTCCATAAAATTACGGAAATAAATTATGCAATTTATGGACACAATGATGTGTTAAAAAAACAGATAACTTGTTAAAATTCCTAGATGGCAGCGACAAGTAACCTAGATATGCAAGCAAGCCTTAATGTTAGTTGCCTTATATAGGATTATTTCTTGGTACAACTGGCAGTTGCATTTGATTTATAGACCATTACCGTAGTGGACCTAGATAAAGTGACAGTACAATGGCTTGCCATAATGGATAATGTGCATTTAAACTAACTAATATTGGAACAGAAAGAACACGCAGAAACTCTCTGAACAGCATTCTATTGGCGAATATTACCACTTAATTGGTGGAGAACACATTTAAGTTGGAGATAGAATAATATATTTAGTATGAATAAAAGAGATAAGTTACACAAGAATGGCCGCGCTTGTAAGACTGAGCCATGCCATTCGATTAAACTGGATTAATTTTCCCGCTTTTCATGGTTAACCATCTCTTCGTGTCAATTGTTGAATATAAGTCTTTTCAGTAATTATATGCTTGGCTTCAAATGTCCAATGCCACTGCAAATCCTTGACTGCATAGCACAGGCTTTGCCATTTGAAGTGTTTTGCGCTTTTGATCTTATTTGTTTTTTTGTTAAATTTGACCGTTTAAATTAACACGAGCCACTTTAATCGCTCCGTACACCATAAAGAAGAATATAGTCTGACTTAATGGAATAAACTTTGGTTCGTTGGTACTGCGTTCGAACTGAATATTTGTTTTCCGGTTCTTAGATCCGTGCCAA